TAGCCACTGAGCTGCCCATAATAATTTTGTAATGATGTACTTTTTTTCAGTAATGTCAGAGGTCTGCTTCATTGTCTTGTTACTTTTGCAATGGACAGTTCCTAAATACCACAGAGAGTCGTGCCATGAGGTTGTGCTTCTCTCTGCAGCATTATCTTGCACTGGGTTAGTCCAGAGCTGGGTCAGAGCCATGACACCTCGGGCTCACAGAAAGTGGGTACAATGACTCTGGGTGTCATGCAACCAGGAAGGGAACTGCTGAGTGGGTGAGCCTATAGAGGACAGGCTAGAGATAGTGTGATTGCAATAGCCAGAGCTGCAATTACATTTTTTTTGTTCACAAAAGTAGGCTTTATTGGAAAAGCTCTGACATACAAGCCAGAGGAAACATCATAATACAGTACAATTAACAATATAGTGCAGTATACAACAATATAAGAATGAATGGGTCACTTTGTTCAGACATAGGCTGCTGGAAACTATATATATATATATATATAAATAATGCTTAGGAAGAGCAGTTCAGCAGGATGCATTTGAAGCTAACAAAAAGAGAGCAATCATTTGTTGAGCAGCATCATTTCCTGAGTGAAAATACATAATTGTACCGATATGATCACGACTTTCCAAAATTTGCTAAACCAGTGGAAATAGAGGCTAACAGGCATCTACGAGGTATCTTGCAATTTCGTATATAACATCAACAAATTTTAAATTTGGGTGATAAGATGTATAGTAGGTGTAGTTAATCATCCAATTTTCAGTTTTAGATAAGAAAAGGAAACGGAAGATATGAGAGGAAAAAGTAGTAAGGACAAAGAGGGAAGAAGCAGCATAGAAAAGCGGATGAGTTCTCACAGCAGAACCATTCAAAGTGGGGAAAACAGGTGAAAGTGAAAAGCCCAGAAGGGAACCTCCACATCGCCCAGTCAGATATTCATGACAGTTTTGTAGGCAGGAGTGGTCTGGAAGTGTATCCAGCATTTGTCCAAAGTGTCAGATGATGTGGCAATTAATTCCTCCATCTCAAGAGTACAAATGAGTCTCAAAAACCAGTCCTTCAAGGAAGGACTGGTGGGTTGCTTCCAGAGTACTGGGGTACACATACAGACCGCATTGATCATGTTCATGACCAAACATTTATGATAGGATCGACCCATGGAGACAGAGTGGTGAATCAAGTATTGCAGTGGGGTAAAATCCATGTGGAAGTAAGAACAATAAATCCGTGAACCTGGGTCCAGAATGTGATAAGCTTGGGACAGTCCCACCAGACTTGGGACATCGTGCTGGTCATGGAGCAACAGCGCCAGCAAGTAATGGGGACCTGTGGAAAAATTTTGTGAGGATGTTTGGGAGTTCTATACCAGTGTGTCAATACCTCATAGTTGTGTTCTTGGACGGAAACATTCAGGGAGCCCTTATGGACAGAGCGGCAAATATTGCTCCATTCCTCCGTGGTAAGGGCATAGGATTGTTCTCCGTCCCACGCTGAAATTGCATTTTTCATTTTTAAGAGCTTCAGGGGAATGTATTTCAGACTTTTTGACCAAGTTGGAATTTGACTATAATAAAATAACAAAGCAGGGAGAAAAAAACAACCAGATCTCTTAGTAAAAGCAGCACATATTACAAGCATTACACTCGTTAGACACATTTAACCCTTTGATTACCCCTTGATGTTAACCTCTTCCCAGCCAGTGTCATTAGTACAGTGACATTGTACAGTATTGTATTAGTGTCACTATTGATATGACTGTCAGTGTACCTCCCAGCAAGGGTTCCACTGTAAGTCACTGATCACCACAATTACCAGTATAGTGTCATAGCTGCACAAATTCCAGTATATACCATAGTTTGTAGATGCTATAGCTTTCAAACAAACCAAATAATATACATTTATTGGGATTTTTTTTTAACCAAAGTCAAATAGCAGAAAACATTTTGGCCTAACTATATGAAGAAATTCAATTTTTTTTCTATTGGATGTTTTATAACAGAGAGTAGAATTTTTTTTTTAATTTTAGATCTTTTTTGTTTATATAATATAAAATAAAAAAACCCAGTGGTGATCAAATACCACCAAAAGAAAGCTCTCTTTCTCTGAAACAAAAATTGAAATTTAATTTGGGTACAGTGTTGCAAGTCCAAGAAATTGCCGGTTAAAGTAAAGCAGTGCTGTATACCAAAAAATACCTTTGTCATGAAGGGGTAAAACCTTCCGGAAGTCAAGTGTTTAAAATAATATTTGGTGATCCTGCTTTGAAAGTCCTTATCAGAAACATTTTGGGTTACAGCTGTCTAGCAGTTGTAATCCTGTATTGTTAATCTGTCACATATGGCCTAGGTGGAAATGACCAGTGTCCATACCTTATAGTTGTGTTCTTGGACGGAAACATTCAGGGAGCCCTTATGGACAGAGCGGCAAATATTGCTCCATTCCTCCATGGTAAGGGCATAAGATTGTTCTCCATCCCATGCTGAAATTGCATTTTCATTTTTAAGAGCTTCAGGGGAATGTATTTCCGAGTTTTTGACCAAGTTGGAATTTGACTATAATATAATAATAGTCCAATATTTGGTGATGCAGCTTTGAAAGTCCTTATCAGGCACATTTTGGGTGACAGCTCTCTAGCAGTTGTAATCCTGTATTGTTAGTCTGTCACATATGGCCTAGGTGGAAATGACCAGTGTCCATACTGACACACATTGCACAGATATGGTCCACCGTTGTCTCTATCAGCAGGTAGGTCTAGATCAAACATGTGCAGCTGCCACTGGAGTTTATGCATATAGACAGGAAATGTCTGAAAGAGGCTGGTGGAGATCAGCAGCCCTGAGATGCACAGGATAAAAACAGTATTCTATCAGACATGACAATCCTTTCTCATATACAGAGCTTCAGCAAACTGAATGTCACCCAGCTAAGGTTTGCATCTGCTTTAAAAGTGCAGTTGTAAGTCAATGGTGAAAAAGTCAAATGCACAGAATATAAAGATGAATCTTTCCAAAGAAATGTAACAGGAAACCTTGTATCTGAAAGGTAATGTATGATACATGTTTTGTATGAAAACTTAACCCTTTTGATGCCGCCTGGTATAAATTCTCCTCCAGTTCGTTGTCTCATGCCACAGCTGCTGTAGAATTTATGCGATGTGGTACTAAAGTTGTACGCTTAATATTCCGCAGCCTGCAGAGTAGCTGACAGATTCAGTGTCTTCCCGCATATCCTTAGCAAACTATATTACTGTGAGAGCAAAAATTTATTTCCGAATCTCCATCACTGAAGCGGTTAAGTGCAGAATTTAAAGACAGTCCTTATGGACACCATCTACCTTGATAAGTAATTTTTTTCTTTTTTCTTTTTTTTTTTCCTGACCAAATTCTTTATGATGTCAAGTGGCATATATTAACTTGCTATCGGCAGATACCTGCAGTACACGGAATGAGTAAAGGCTTTCATTCTTGAATAGTGCTGATTTCTCTACACTCTTCTTTCATTTCCTGCAAGAATTTGTGTGAGCTGAACTCGACCTCAGAACTCAGGCGTCTGCCTTCCATCTAAACCATCGCCGGAGCCACAAATCCCACTTGAGTCTGCAGAACATTTTTCCATACAAGCAGAGCGAAATTATTTTACATGTTGCCATAAACAGATTCGCAGTTCAGAGCCCGTCTATATAATAGATTTTGACCTAGACGCAGATGTTTCCTCTCCCCCAAGCATCTTTGTGCTGACAAACTGGCTGCAATGTTAGCAGCTGTTGAGTGCCAGTCGAATATGGCACTGAGTTTTTCAGTTGAAAGGTGCCTTGGTACCGAATGAAAACTGGCATCAGTTGTGGAAAGAGCTAGTACCGCTAATAAGTTGGCTCGGGTGTTGTAATTCTGCTGCTTTGAATGAACTCCATCGGAGAAGGAAAGAGGAGAATGATTTGACAGCAGTTTAATGGGAAGATAATATACACAGCTTGATATGAGGAGCATCATCCATTCAAACTTCAATCATCCTGCCCGTCTCTTCTACTAATATGCTAGTGTTATAATATAGCCAGTGAATCAAGGAAGTGCAATCGGGCAGAATGAATTCAATTCAAAGAGATAACTTATAATTTTGACCAAAGGGTTAAAATAAACCCAAATTTTAAAGCTTGTGTTTATGAAGTTCAGATTCTGTGAGAAAAATACCAGTATGTACCACCGAATACAGTACATATGTTTCTATTCCATATTTCCTACGTAGGCTGATTAACGAACACTGCTACTACATTTAAGCCTGCTCTCTTTAACAACCAATCAGACTTTAGCTTTCATTCTTTAACTTGCACTGGAAATGTGAAACAATGACTTTCATTGATTGTTTAATTCCAGCCAAATCATTTTTCCAATTTTAATAACCCAGAGAAAGGTTGGTTTTCACTTCTGTCTGTGTGCCATTTAGGGAGATGTAACCTCAATATTTGTCCTTGGGACTATTGTCACTAGGAGAAAAAAATAAGGAGGGGACGGCAATTAAAGTGGTTGTAAAGGCTGAAGGATTTTTACCTTCATGCATAAAAAACCTTCAGTATGCAGCTCACCCCTCAGCTCCCTAATACTTACCTAAGCTCGATTTTGATCCAGCAATGTGCATGAGAGCAGCAGCTCTCCCAGGTCTCTCTCTCCTCATTGGCTGAGACATAGCAGCGAGAGCCATTGCTGTCAATAACAGCCAGTGAGAAGGGAGTGGGGGATGGGGCCAAGCAGTGCTCTGTATGTCTTACAGACAGACACACAGAAATGGCTCGGGAGTGCCCCCAGAGCAAGTGCCTATAACAACCAATCAGACTTTACCTTTCATTCTTTAACTTGCACTAGAAATGTGAATCATAGACTTTCATTGGCTGTTTAACTCCAGCCAGAGGAAGAGCCAGGAGCATGGGCAGCAAACCTGAGAAGAGGAGGATCAGTAAGTATGACATGTTTGTTTAAAAAAAAAATCTGAACCTTTATAATCGTTTTAACCTCCCTGGCGGTATTACCGAGTGTAGCTCGGGGTAAAGTTTCAGTACCACAAGCAGTAACCCCGAGCTAAACTCGGGCTTACGATGCGGCGCTGCTCCGTGATCCCTCGATCACTTACCTTGTCCTGCGCTTCCGCGATGTCCCTCCTGCAGTGTCCCCGGCAACGTAATCCGGCGGACGCCGGCATCTGTCATCTGGGTTCCGTCCCCTGGGAGCGTCGGGACGTATGGGGGACGGAACGGCGGGAAATTTGAAAATGACAAAAAGTGACATTCACTAAAATCACATAGTAAAACATTACTGTATCAAACCATTTCCTATACATTTTGTCCCTACTGCTTTGTCCTGTGCCCTGCCTGCATTTTTACTGTTCTTTCTGCCTGGAAACTGAGAAACGTCCATGGCATCCAAAAAGCGTCCCTTTAGGTCAAAAGCGGCTTTAGACCAGCTAGAGAACAGCGATAGTAAATCAGAACCACTTGCAGAATTGAGAGTTAATGATTCGTGGAGAAATTCGTCATCAGACACTGAAAACGATTTTGCGACTTTGCTCAGTGATGTGCAAACTTGGCGCTATATTTCAAATTTCAGTGTTTTTGGTTTGATTATATTATTGAATTAAATGTATTATTGTTATATTATTACTTTTTATGATTATTTATTAAATTATAATTTATGATTTCGTGTTTCAAGTTTTATCCTACCTGGGATGTTTACTAGACTCTTGTTCGGACAGATTTCAGTGAGTTATTCCTAAAAAGTACAGGCCTACAAAAAAAAAAAACATTTTTTCCGTGCAAAAAAATGTACCGCTTTGAGCACAGAAATATGGACATAATCAGACCGCTAGGGAGGTTAAAGGATAAGTTCACCTTTCATAACATGTTACACTCATATTCCAGGTGTAATATATTACTGTAGCACCGCCCCCTCAACCCCCTACCCCCAGTCCTCCGTTGTGACAGCCGGCCAGAGTTCTGTGAATGGGAAACTACCAGTACTGAAAGCCTTTGCAGCTGTTGGCTTGTAGTTCTCAATGAACTACCAGAGCATTGTTGAGCACTCTGGTAGTTAATTGATAGGGACTGGCTATGTTCGGCAAACACTGGCTGTGTTTGGCAAACACACAAACAGCAAGGGCATTCAGCGGGCTGTTTGCCCGCTGCGCCCCACAATGCACTGCGCCCTGACAGTGCATTGTGATTGGCCAAAGCATTGCACCTGACCACAGGCTGATTTTATGGCTGTGGGTTTAGTAACACTTTAAGTTAGGGAATTTCCTCTTTACTATGTTAAAGCAATGTAATGGCATTTTAGTGATTGGGATTTATGTATACTTTAATTTTCTATCATGTCTGAATTGAATTTAGACATCTTTATACCTGTATTGCTTGTTATAGGATCATAACATCCTAATGATTGGAAACCTAGTGAGGATTGCAACTATTAGTATATTACAATTTGTAATGTACAAGAAAGGTGAAACGTTGGAAAGGGGCAACATTTACGTCAATATGTTGAGAACCTTTTTACATTACTTCACTAACACACATGCCCTTGTGAACGTGAGAAAAAAACAAAACATATCAGAAGATTCCAGTGAAACTCTTCATTAAAGATGTATTCTGACCTTTGATATCCAAGGAAGAAACATCTGTGACTCATCTTGATCATAACCCCTTCCAAGATGGTAGAGAGCAAGACCCAATTCAGTATTGTGTTTTAGCTGAAATTAACCGATTTAGCCCACATGTCACCTTTGCACTGAACAGCTAATACAGTGTAATCCTTTGCACTTTGTTGAGTCTTGTTCTTTTTCTTCAGTAGAGGATTCAAAACCATTTTTGCAGTTGTCTTTGAAAATGACCTGACACTGTTGGAATTTAATTAAACAGTAAGAGAAAAAAAACATACTCCTTATCTCCATATTCACACAGTCTTGCTGTAGAGTGGACAATAATGGCCCAGTCAAACCATATGAGTTGGGCTGCCCAAAGCAATGCTGCCCTTTGCAGTCCCAAAGCAGAGACTAAGCAACTGCCCTTATGTCCTATCAGTTCAATTCACCCTTACGCATTGCATTGGTGTGTACTAAAAAAAATAGTAGAACATGCTGTATTTTACATGTTGCAGCATGTTGTGATGCATTACACCACATTGCAATGAGCTGCGGCACAGAGAAATGAATGAAACAGAGTATAATGAACATCAGCTGGTGTGAATGGACTCTCAGGTGAAGTATAGTTGCCAATAGGGAAGATACCAGAACAATCTTGATACTTGGCTTAGCTATTACACCATCAACACCCTTTGGCTACTATAGTTTGGATATTTGAGGGCTGCATTAAGCTCTGAACGAAATCCTATGTGAATCTTATGTTGTCTTGCATTTTTATTCCTCTGATTTTCAGGTGAGAGGAGAGACTGTGGGGGAGATTTACTAAAAATGGTGCACTCAGAATCTGGTGTAGTTGTGCATGGTAGCCAATCAACCTTTAACTTCAGATTGTTCAATTAAGCTTTGCCAATAAAATCTGGAAGCCAACTGGTTTCTATGCAGAACTGTACCAGATTTTGAATGTTCCAGTTTTAGTAAATAATCCTCAATAATGACTTTAAGGTTGTTAGTGCTGCATCTTATTACATATTTAGACTTTGGGTATATTATTTAGATTAAACCTTCTCTGGCATAGAAAAGTAAAACAATATACAATTAGAAGATTTAGTATAAAATACAATGACATTCATTATAATGCCCATATTAAAAATTAGAGTGGATGGATTTTGGCAAAATTGTGCTGCAAAATTATTGATTTACCATTTTAACATTCAACACAAATGTAAACTCTCAATTTCTCTTAATAAACAGTGAAAGTAGGAATTCTCAGTTTTACTTATTGAGCAACTTGGGTTTAATTTGGTCTATGGCTTTTTTGTCTTGCTTAGAGGCTATAGTGTTTTGTGTGTGCATTTAGGGTCGTTTAGTTTAGTTTATTTAGTGTTTTTTTGTGTTTCTGTTTTTTTTGTACTTGTCTATTGTTTGTTTTCTGTGTAAAGAAACATAAAATAATGAGGCTATTGAGAGGCTATTTATTTTATACAAGAACAGGTCCAAAATAGTTCAAAGGAGCTTCCATAAGCCTCAGGAGCCATTTAAGTCCCATTGCACTAAAACTACCAAAAATATCTAAGCTTCACATTTTTATTGGCTGCATTGCATTAACCTGAAATAGTGAAAATTTGTTGAAATCTCCTATTTTTGCCAAAGTTTAAGAACAACTAGTGCTTTGTGGGAAAGAAACTAATGGAAGAAGAAGAAAATATACAGAGTGCAGCGCTCGACATATAACGAAAATCATAAATAGTGTAAAAAATATTGAAAAATAATATAAAAAGTCCTCCTGCAAAAAGATGTAAGAGAATGGGTGCTCAGGTGATCAGGTGACTTGATCCTGGTATTCGTGCACGTATGTGATAAAGTAATGCGCACTCACCAGACCCGCATAAACCATGCGCCTTAGTATATATATGGTACAGATGTCATCCGGTATTGGGTGATCCTCCCTCAGCTGTATGTAAGGCTGGTGGTCCACTCCCCCTTAGGAGTCCCCCTAGTGAGAGGTATGGTCCGGATCCAAGTCCCTCCGGTGTATCCAGGAGTAGGTCTGCAAATCAAAATGCTCCCCCAGGGGGTAACAAAGATACTCCCATAGTGTAGTAGTTGGTAATAAAGCAAGGTTTATTGAAGACAAGGCATAAAAACGTTGCAGACAGTTATTGATCAACAACTAACCGTCTGAGTAGTTAAGATGGCCGCCAGAGCTCCGCGTTGCTCTGACGGCGTGACTTCACGGCGTGTTATGGCTCCTCCTTACGCGTGTCGTGCTCCAGCACGTCTTCAGAGGGGGGTTGCACATACGTGCACGAATACCAGGATCAAGTCACCTGATCACCTGAGCACCCATTCTCTTACATCTTTTTGCAGGAGGACTTTTTATATTATTTTTCAGTATTTTTTACACTATTTATGATTTTCATTATATGTCGAGCGCTGCACTCTGTATATTTTTATCATGGACTTTTAGGGGTTATTGGTACCTCATTTGTGCGTAGCAGCTTTACTGTTTAAAGTACTAAGGCGCTTCTCCCCACCACTTGTAATGGAAGAAGAAGGCTTGATAAAATGGGAATAATGTCTAATCCCAGTAAAGGACATAAGTACAGTATTTGCAATAATGCACCGTATATACATCTGTAGTTAAAGTCCAGCTCTGATCACAATTATTTGTTTTTAAATTTTGCATAGAGTAGAGACGTTTTAGGACTTAATTGAGGAAATTTCTCATCACTGTGTGTCTCAGCAACACCTCTGTGACACCAGAAGAAGAAATTATGCAAGATGAGTTGACTGCTTTTATTGCATAAGCATCAAAAACAACATGTTACGTGTAATCGGGGTACATCTCACCCTGTACTGCGACGCAGCGCACCACATAGCAATACAGTTCCAAACATACGATAAATACATTCAGGCCAATAAATACATTCGCTCAGCGGTATGATGCCTGACGTGATGTGCACGGAGGATGAATCCCCCGGACCACCACGTCATGCATGACGCCGCTTACCCCAAAAACTGTAGCATCCTAATACGATATACATTTCCTAGTTACTATGTCATGCACGAAAACGATAACTGAAAAAAAAAAAAACACTATCAACAATAGGCATCGGGTGTGTGTGGGGGGGGGGGGGGGGGGGGGGGGGGGGGGGAAACACAGGCCCGAAGCTTTATTGAAGGGACAAAGACACGCAAGGGGGAGTAGGGGGAAGGGGGAAATCTTCAGACGTCCTCTTCCTCCTTAAAGTCCATCAAGGAATAGTCTCTGAGCAGACTGAGGATCAGTCTGCGGCAGTCCTCAATGGACATCCTCTCCCGCTGGAGTGTGAGGCGCTTTCTGGCGCACCATAAAGCGTCCTTGAAACAGCACAGCACCCGCCAGGCGCCGTCTAATGTCCTCCAAAGAAAAAGTTCCACAGAACAGTCCATTCAAAACCCCAAAGTGAGTGATGGCTGTCTGTGGCACAAAGTCCTTGAGTTCAGGTTCCAGGGCCCCCAACAGGGCCTGAGCAAATGAGCACTCCCAGAAAACGTGATAAGACGTTTCCTCATGGGTGATGCAGAAGGGGCAGTGTCTGTATCTGCTCAGGTTCCTGGCATGCATAAATGTCCTGGGGAGGCAGTCCCCCCTGGATAGCCATCCATGCCAGGTCTTTGTGCCTGTTGGTGAGGATGTTAGAAGAAACCTCCTCCAGACCACCTTG